TTTATTTTTAAGTTCCAGTGTAGCCCCGGAAGGGTTAAATCCTTTTTTTTTGGTGGATGAAAACAGCTTGTGTGAACTGCTTGGACTGTAGGGGAGTGCTGGCAGCTGCGGGGAGTTCATCTGCTAAGGCAGAGCAGAGCTGCCCTGGCCAGGTGGAGGGAAAGCGTCGTTCAGCAGATGCTCCAAGGACAGGCAGTGGCTGTTTTCCATCTTTTTGTTCAGGACCATGTGGATGTGGGAACAGATGCAGGTCTGGAATGGCATTAGGGGTGGTTTCAGCACCACTGTGCACTGTGAAAGGAGACATTGTGCACAGCACCAGGAACACACGTGGCCGTTCCCGGTCATCCACGCTGCATCTAGTGGGAACTGCTATGGGACTGTGAACCTTGGGCATTGCCTTCCTTTGAGGTTTTCTGCCTTTTCTCTATCAGAAATGCATCTTTTGTGGCTTCTCTGTGTGTTCCTGGATGTCCACATGTCCCATAAAAAAGCCCAGTGGAGCAATGGTGGCAGCTGCAACAGAGATGTGCCCAAGCATTACCAGCACAGCATCGCACGCCTGTGCCATGGGCAGGCTGTGATCATCAAGGCCAGCTTCTACATTTGGTAACGCCAGCTCCGGAGAGAGATGTTATCACTGCTGCAGTCACCACATCCTCTTTTGGAGCCCTTTCTATCTTGATGCACCGGGGTGTTTCCATCCCTGAGTGCAAGGACCTCCGTTGCAGAAGTGTTGCTCATGAGGGACACTCTGATTTTTGCTGGTTACAGTCATGAGCAATCGCTTCCTGGAAGACAGTGCATGGCTCAGCTGCAAAAAGCCTCAAGCCCTGCAGGAGTAAGGGAGGCCCCAGGGATCTGTGGCAGGGAAAGCTCCAGGGAAACCAGTTTCTGTGAGCATCAAGGCATCAGCTCAAAGGGTAGGGAGGCTGCTGGCCACCCATGGGAATGGCTTTGGAGTCTCCCTTCATAAAACTGTCACGTTCTTCCCTTATTTTTCATGCAATCCCCCTAATAGTACTTGGCTCAGCCAAAGACCCCATGCTCATCTGATGGGATGTTTGCTCCTAGTGGCATTTAGCATTGTCAGAATGGGGCACAAGCAGCTGGACTTTCTAGGATGCAGTGAGGAACTTGTGAAGGCAAATACAGGAGGCGGAGGACCTGAAAGGATCATGTTTCTTGGCACTTTAAAGAGTAGGAAGATAAAATAAGGGGAAGCCCAAGCAGAATTTGGGAGCTGCATGTCTATGTGTTTGTTGAGTGGAAAAGAACATGGCAAAACGATTCCCCCGCAAAATGCTAGAGCTGGGTTTTCTTTGGGCTTTGTATAGCAGCCCTCCTCGCCCTGCAGAGAGGAAGCTCTGAGGATATTCTGCCCTCCTGTGGAGAAAAGACTTCAAGCTGGAGCTCAAGCAGGACCTCAGGGAAGAACATCCCCCAGGACTTGAATTTGTAATGCAGCCGGGTCACAGGAAGCCCGAGGAGACTGTGAAGAGCTGGAAAAACTGCTCCTTAACGGTGCCAAAGGATTGAGGATAAAACCCTCCACTTTTTTTT